GAGCCAAATTCGATAACGTGTCTTCGATTATGGAGGCCCATAGAGTTGTCGGTTGGCGCAAGCTAGCTAGTCGATTTGGTCCCCCTCCAATTCTTTTTCAGGGTGTCACATACAGCACCCCCACTGAGCGTGCGGAAATATTCTTTCGCACTAAGCTTGCCCGCGCGACTAGCCAACCGGATGTCCCCTTGGACACTCCTACATGCTCTCTGCGTGCGATCCCCGCACCTCTCTCCGTAGGTGAAGATGAGGTACGTAACTGTCTCCTGGAAGTTTCATCAACAACCCCGGGTCATGATCATTTATCGGTCTCAGCTCTCCGCCTTGTTTGGGGGGTGGATTCATGGCGCTCGTGGATTGTTCACCTCTACAGTCTCTGTCTGGCTTATGGTCACCATCCCAGTATTTTCCGCCGCGCCGAAGTGGTGATTATCCCCAAGCCACACAAGGATGACCTCACCAACCCCGCTAACTGGAGACCAATCTCGCTTCTCCCAGCCCTCGGCAAAGGGCTGGAACGCCTCATCGCAAGACGCCTTGCTTTCTGGGCCTTGTCGAATCGAGTTATCTCCCCAACGCAATTCGGAGCGCTTCCTGGAAGGTCCGCCATGGATCTCGTTGAATGTCTAGTTCACGATGTCGAAAAAGCATGGGAGGCAAAGCAGGTCTGCACTCTTGCCACCCTCGATATTCAAAGTGCTTTCGATAGCATCCAACCTGGCCGCCTCTTCGTCCGTCTTCGCGAACAGGGATGGCCGTCAGCATATGCTAATTGGGCCGCATCCTTCGCCTCTCATAGAAAAGCTCGCCTCAGAGTGGACGAATACGTCGGCGACTTCTTGGATATTCCGCACGGACTGCCTCAAGGGTCCCCCGCATCCCCTATACTTTTTCTTCTCTTCCTCGAGCCCTTATTCAAACTCGGGTTTCCTACTTTTGGTTACGTTGACGACGTGGCGATCCTTTCGGTCTCAAAATCTCTGGTCGATACTTCTCGTTTGACTGCCAACAGGATTGAAAGCATCACCCGCTGGTGCGGTCAGAATGGACTCTCTCTGGCAGAAAGCAAGACGGAGCTACTGCATCTTCATAGATCCCGCCAGCCTCCTTCTCCGGTAGCTATCAACGGCGTCTTAATGACCGCCAACCCAACTTTGAGGTGGCTAGGCGTCTTCCTTGACACGAAGCTCTCTTTTAAAAGACATGTGCAAGAATGGAGCGCCAAGACGCAACGGGTCAGTGCCCACATACGGCAGCTTGGTAATACCAACCGTGGTGTACCCACATCCTTTCTGCGCACTGCAGCCCTGGCTGCGGCGCTCCCTGTACTTCTGTACGGCGCTGAGGTTTGGTGGCGTGGCCATACCTACAACCGCCGCGGCCGCCTCACTTCTACCCGGTCTCAACACCTAGTAACCACGGTGTCTCGAGCTCTAGTCAACTTGGCTAGAGCAATTCTTCCGGTATACAAAACTACTCCGATTGCAGCATTATTGAGAGAGGTTTGGCTCAAACCTGCACATATTCTTCTTGAGGAGAGGCGCCTCAACTCCGCCATTAAATTAGCCGCCGCCGACGACTTTCACCCTGTTGCTAAAAGATCTAAGGAGCCCCGCGCGCATACTCGTCTGACGGAAAAATTACTGCTCGTTTCTCCTTTTCCCCGCCCTCGGCTCGTACCTTCCTCGTACCGAGCCTCTTCAATCCTTACCCGGACTGACCTCTCCCTCGAAGCTTTTTCCCGTCGTATTGGCGAGTTACCACCTTGGGACATCCTTGTCTTCTCGGACGGCTCCAAACAAAAAGATGGATCTGCTGGGGCAGGTGCCGTCGTTATCCATAAGGGAATCACCCTAGCAGAGGTTAAAATTCCGCTAGGCCCCGACTTTGAGGTTTATGACTCCGAAGTCATCGGCGCCCTTGCAGGGCTCAAGGCTGCTATAGCGGCTCCCTCTATCCACTTGGCTACCAACATCCACGTCATCTTAGACAACCAAGAGGCAGTTCGACGTCTTCTTGATGCATCACCCTCGAAAACCTCGCAGCAAGAAATTCTTGAGTTTCGACTTCTCGCCTCCAAGTGGCCCACTCGGAGAATTTCACCAATTGCAGCTCCTGGTAAGGTTCACGTGATGTGGTCTCCTGGCCACGTCGGCATCCCTGGGAACGAGCTAGCAGACAAGCTAGCTGGTGAGGCGGCCCGCCAACCGGCTCCCCTCGCCGCATCTCTCGCTGGAGCCCGCGCAAAGACCAAAAAGCACATTTGGGATCTGACTTCTGCATGGTGGCAAAACCAAGCGCCGTCAACATATTGTGAATTGGGGATGCCGTTTCCCAAAAAGCCCCCCGAAGAGCTCCGTCTCCCCCGCCGGAATCTTGGGTATCTCATTCAATGCAGAACCGGACATGGCGATTTCCGTGCGTACCACAATAGGTTTCAACATGGAGATGCCCTCCTGACTTGCTCTTGTGGAGGTAACAAGTCAGTCACCCATTTAGTTTTTTGCCCTCTCGTTCGAAAGAGATTGGCCTCCAATGGTCACCGTCAAAGCTTGGGCACACTAGCTTTTCTCCTCGGCACCTCCCGTGGTGCTAAGCGTTTTTCTATTTTATTGGAGAGGAGTGGGTTTCTGTCAGAAATCTGCCCAACCCGTGCCAATTAATCAACCTTTGTGAGGGATATGCTGCACAGCGCTCACAGTAACTTATCTAGTTTGTGTATAGGCTTGATCGCCTCCCATAGGGTGGAAAAGAATGTAGAATATAGTAGTCACCGTGTCCCCCCAGGGATGGGGCTGTAGTCTTTTGATATTGCCCGGTAGACCTGTTAAAAATAAATAAATAAATAAAATAAATAAGATTAATCTGGACATCACTAGAAATTTCTAGCAACTAGTAGTAAGACTGCGAACCAGCCTCAGGGGAAAATACTAGAAACTGGTATTAGTCAAGAATATTCTAGATAGAATAGTAAGCGAATAAATAGTTGAAGTTGGACGTACATAGATAGCCATAGAGAAAATAATAAACAACCTTCGTATATTTGATCGCCCCAGCATCTATACCTCGAACCGTGACAGAGTCATAGACTATCTAGCACATTGGGCTCCTCTCTGACTCAGGCCACACCTTGTACAGTGCACCTATCCTCTTTTGTTACTTGAAAGATCATTGATATATTCCCCTTGATAAATAGCCATTCAGCTCAGTGTTTACCCGTGGAATTCGGCCTCCTTTTCCACGGAACCTTCTACCCAAAAAAAATAAAAACGGTAGCAAGTGAAACTGCGTGCGCGGGAAAAAGTCTCAAAAAACCTGTAGCCCCAGCCAGGCGAGGCCTAGACACCGGGACCACATGAGGTGCGCATATGCATCTATATCTCCCTTCTTTGTAACAATCGAGGTCGACTTGATCCAATCCGCCATCTCCGTATCGGGTGCTGGGTACGCTCCGGAAACTCATCGGATGGCATCCCCTCCATGATCAAGGGTTGGTGATGAGTAGAGCTCCGACCCTACCATCTGATCTGATTGTGGTTGTTACGGTTTACCCGTTGTTTAAGCTTAGGTGAAAACCTAAGCGCATTGTTGAGGACTCTGAGGATAAGACTGTTGGGATCGAAGCAATGTCATAGCACAGTGAATATGGGCAATGCGAAGCCGTGCGGTAAATATTCGACCTAAGGAAAAGGTATAAGCAACGAGACTCATAGAGTGGACAAAATGTTATAAGTACCTTGTAGCTGTAGTTAAATTTCTCTTCTTCATAGAGTTTATTAAATCGATTTTTTCATTACCAACTCGGTTTCTATCACAGTGGTTAGCTTCATGATAATGGTGATAGGGGAATGTGTTGAGAGATGAAGACGATACAGACCGCGAGAACGATAGGGAATCCTCATTGAAGTGAGGACTTTGTTACTCAATCTCGGCTCTGCAGACTCTACAGTGAGAGCTTGAGTTGGTTGGGGACACCACTGATAGATGTTGAGAAGAGTTCCCCATCACAGTCCTGAGTGTTAATATGAGTTACTAATATACGGTACGTTTATATAGGTCGATCTCAGGATGTGGCGTAAGAAATCGCCAAAACTAGCACTGTAAATTTCGTCACTACGGCATATCACTGTTGCTTTATTAATGCGATGATCTCACTTCTCTGAGGGTATGGCAGAGAAAATTCTATGACTTATATAGGCTAGCACAGGAAATCACTGGCCATATGGCGATTTGAAAGTGGAAGTCGGAAGATGCCGGTGCTGGATACTCTGCTCGGATCAATGGACCAGTAGCTGCTCGGAGAGTATACTCAGCAGAGTTGAATCTACGCGATGTTAAGTAATAGTATCAAGGGTAAGTAAGATGTGGGTGATTAGCCAGTAGTTGGGGCAACAAAGTCGTTGATAGGAAAAAATCTAGTCTTGCGAGCTAAGCGACTAAGTATGTGGAGGGGCTTACGCTCTGGCACTTCAAAAACAGGCTCCCTGGACGTTCAGATCTGGAATGACTCAATAGATAGGCGAAGGCTTAAGTGATCCAATCATTCGAGTAAACCGAAGTTCAAATAATTAATGGTAGCAATCTAATCCAACCCAGCTTCACTATTAATCAGTCTTCCTCAGGAGTGTAGATGCTGCCAATTATCTAGCATTTTACTAAATATACTTGCATATATATATTCATTTAAGATCAGGAATTTCATGGTCTAGTAAAAATTTTACTACCATCTCTACATCATCCATACACTTTGTACGTCATTACTTCAGTAGCTAGAGGTATATTAATACGATCTAGTAGAGCGGTTTTCCTACAAACGAGGCTTCAGGTTAGGTCTTGATAGAAGCAGGGTCTCTCTTTGACTTATATTTGATGGCGATATAAGGACGAATCGTATTCTCGAAAATTTCAAGTCAACTACACTCTCTCCATGTACACCGCGGCGATTTCTCCTTATCTTTAGCCTTACTGTAGGCAACAATTTATTGTATCTCTGATTACCCTCAAACAGGTGTAAATGGAATTTCGTGTAATGTTATCAATATGGGTATAGATTCTATCACTGATTTTTCTGCCGGATTTTTGCTGCTTTTGGATTCTAGATTATGGTTCCCCTCATCTTTGATATTTTTGGGTTGGTGTGAAACGTAGAGAGAATACCCGTGCAGATTAAGGGAATTTTGGGCTAAAAATTCAGCGATTAATGCCCCGTTGCGCGGCTCAGGCGTGAGGTTCGTCAAGGGGCACCAAATTCTTTTCAACAAGTCCCATCGGAAGAGATGCAGATGGCCCTGGTACCAAGTCAGGGCTCGGAGTCTATTATGTAAATGCTTTCCTCGACTCAGGCGACTGCCTAGGAAGAGGTCTTGTGTGCGCACAGGCCTGTCCGCCGTAACCTTTGCAATCCCCCCAACTTCCGACGGGGCAAAGCAAGCATAGCGACCGTCGACATCAATTTTTCTCTCAAAGGCTAAGCTGGTGATGTAGCGAAGAGTGCAGACTTCGGTACGAAGCAATCTAGACAGTTTTATCGGAGCCTTGTGAGGCTTATTATGGAGCTTTAATTCAATCTCGTCATTTTGTTTTTCCAGAGTCGGGGTTGACTGGGTCTGGATATACCGCATGCAATCATCCTCCGGAATTGGCCTGCGCTTGAAGGTATATTGCTCACTGACTGGTAATGGTTCCAGGGACTGAGTGACGAGAGCTATGATATTCTTGTGGCTTATTTTTTCTGAGCAATATGTAGCTTGGTATGTGCCGAGCGTTGTGAATTTACTTTGTGACGCCAGCTTATCGGAATTGAGGGCATATATGGGGAAGTAATCTGGAAGTCGAGGTTGATAGACACCATAGAAATCATAGTCGCCTCCGCCCGTAATAACCAAGCGGTCTATTTGATGTGAATTATTTGGGCTATGCAAAAGGATAGCATTGATGCAGTTCATTGTCACCTCGTTGTGCTATCAATATGAGCTTCTTGTATGTTGGCGCTCAACTCGAGCTACGAGAACAAACTGGCCGAGAGATTGAATAGCCAAAGATTTCGGGTGCCACGGATCCAAGGTATCCGGTACAGGAAGAGGAGAAGGGAGTTTTAATTCTCGCAATCTCCAATGAAGGATGGTGAACACCAATGTGTGGAAAGGTCTCCACTGCCACATATCACTCCTCGGAACTAACTTCTTATAACCCGGCATAATAAGCTTGTTATCAATGATGTCCTACGGGTCTTGATAATTCGATAAGCCATGAAACATCGCCAATAAGAGCGGCGTGTAAGAGGCTGGCACAAGGGAGAGCGGAGACAGGCATGGACGAGAGAGCAAATAAAGAAATCCTTTGGTTTCTGAGTGGTATCATACATTTGCAAACAGTCCAATTATGCCAGATTTATATACTGGTCATTTTTTCATGTGCAAGAGCCTCAATTACCATCAATGCCCATGAGATAAAGGTCTATGAGAGTGTAGATTTGTATACAGTTGTTTATCCTGGATAGTCTTGCTCAGGAAGACCAGAGTAAATCAATCACTGATAGCTTGCTTGTCATAAAACCGAAGTTGATCGCCATCTTTATTCCAGATGATTTGACCCACGATCCGACATTATTCTCCTCCAGTTAACAAAGCCCTATTGAAATACGTATGGGTGCAATTACTAGATTGAGGAGTTGTTGGTGGAGGGATTTCATCCTTGTCTTAATAACGTTATCGCTTAAATGAGCTTGAGGTATAAATATGGTCAGTGCGCTATCAAGCCCACAGGAGAGAGGCGTGGAGCACGGGTATCTTGACATGCCCTTATAATTAAATTATTCTATCATTCCTGATTTGGCGCCTTGAGGCCCACGCAGGTTTTGTTGGAAGATATGTACTCAAATTAGGATGACTCAATTTGAAGTTTTGAACACTCACACTCACATCTGCTTTGCAGATACCACTTGAGGTCAACCCTTACGGCGTGTCACCTCTGCCGTGCAAAATCAACATATGGAAAAGCGTGTAAGGCCCATAATTATACGAGTGTGCTTTTATTATCCTACAAATACGACATTATCGTAAAAGAGAGTGGTGTGTGTGAGTTTATTGGGTTCGTGTCAGCTTTCTCACGTCTCGAATGAGGTAGGGGTTGAAGCAACCTAGTATCGTCTTGGGAGAACGGCCAGAATGGTATACCACAGCACATCCAACCCGAAACACTTCTTTATTTTAGATGGAATATATAGTAGCATCCTTTTTAATATCCATTTGTACCTGGGTGATGATGTGTATTTACCATGCATGTTTGTGTCCTCAGGCACAATTCGTAACTAAGGTTTTGTACCGGCTAGTCCCATCCAATTATAACTGCAAGGTTATGAGAGATAGAGTAGCAACAAGTAATGTATTGCAAGTTCCCTGAATGGTATGATTGATGTTGTGGTAGATCAGTATGATATGTATGATCCTCCCTCGTTATGTGGAATTACTATTCTTGTGCACATGTGAATGTACAACGGTTCTCATCGAGATAAATCTATGTAATTCCATATTGATGGTATCAACTTCCATGAGGGCAAGACTGAACACCTGCACGCGGTATCTTCTACGAACCTGGGAGTGAAATATTCTCCCAGAGCCAAGCTTAGTCAAATTTCGCGATACCTAAGTTGGCCCACGAGGCAATGATCCAAAGTACTCCACCACAACAATTTTTCACTCTCCACGAGATCGACTCTTTCCCAACTCTCATCAAATTTATAAGCACGACCTAGTACATCCTCATTTCAATGACCACACCTCTCGTCGACTTTCTCTGGCCTCAGCTCGTCACCAAAGACACGCCCACGCCGATATTTACACCCGCAGGAGGAAGCAAAGCGTGGCGCACCAATCCGGGAGATAGTTCTTTGAGATAGAATAGAATATAATTAAATTTAAGTCCCTACTGAGTCTAAGACTATGAAGGACTGTTCTTTGAGATAAAGGTGAGAGGGATCAGGACAAGTTAACAAGATTATGCAGAGGAAGGATATAACCTCGAAGGGCGTGAAGTTCCGATTTTGGCAAGGAGTTTTTACAGATTGTATTAAGGAAATAATGACCCCTCAGTCATTGAGGTTGTAGAGCGCATTGATTCATGTAACTACCGAAGTGAAACTAAGTACAGAATTTGTAGTCACGTGTGTACCAACAACGTGGCCTACTTTATAGCCCCAATTACTCTAAATTCTAACAGATTGACAGGAAAGGCAGAGGGCTTCAGGCCGTTCAAATCCGCCCGGCAAACACCGCGGACATCTGCTGGGTCACAATAATGGGTTTTACGCCCTCAATCACGATCGCCAACGTATACAGACCACCTCAAGAAACAGAAGGAGGTGCCGTGATATGCGCTCTTAAAGAGTTCCGGGTGCCGCCTAATTACATAGTAGCGGGGGACTTCAATACGAGACATCCGCTCTGGGATTCCCGTGCAACAGCTTCGAGAAAGTCTATAGAACTAGCCGATTGGGCCCAAACAAACGATCTAGTTCTCACATCACCAATTGATAAGAGCACACACAGCAGAGGCAACACTCTTGATCTAGCGTTCACCAACAACCCTCACGTCCAATGTAATATCGAGGAGCATCTACACACAACATCAGACCATGAGACACTTGTGTCCATAGTTCTATGCACTAGGCTCAAGCTGCACTCCCCTAGAGTCCAGTTTAGTCTAAAGCCCGAGAGCATTCCACACTTCGCTGCCGGAGTCAAAGAAACTCTCCCGACCGCCGAGTACCTACCACAGGATGTTGATAGGCTCACAAACTTGATAACCCAAATCATCCAGGTCAATATGCAGCGATTCTTACCCAGGAAGATTCAATCCGGGAACGGGACCAAATGGTGGAATAAGGAGTGTGCAAACAAGGCTGCAGAATATCGGAGGGCTAGAAGGCGAGGCGAAGCCACAACAGAGAAACACGCCTTGCGGAAAGCTACACGGGCAGCTAAGAAGGAATTTTGGATGAAAAAGGTAGAAGAGGCTCGCCAACCTAAGGATATCTTCAAAATCACTAGTTGGCATAAATATAATGGATCTTTCGGCTCACCCCCTATAAAACACAACGGAAGTACGTTCACAGACCCTAGCGGTAAAGCATCTGCTCTCAGTCGGGCTCTACTAGAAAGGAGATCGAATGAGGAGGATATTAGCCTAGAGCTAGAACCAACAGTCACCAAGGATGAACTGCACATAGACGCACTAGTCGAATTAGATGAGATTGAGCAGTGTGTACTCTACGCGGGCAACACCGCCCCAGGGATCGACGGCATCACTACTCAAATATTACGGGCCTGTTGGGACAGCATCAAATATGCGGTACTTCTACTTTTTCGTCGGTGCTTAAGCCAAGGCCACCACCCTAGTGCATTTTGCAGAGCAGAAGTTATCTTTCTTCCAAAACCAAATAAGAGGGATCTCAGCTCACCAAAATCATGGCGCCCCATTGCCCTTCTGTCTTGCCTAGGCAAAGGTCTCGAGAGATTGATGGCTAGAAGAATTAGTCACGCGGCCATCACACAAAACGTGTTAAGCCAACAACAATTTGGGGCACTTCCAAAAAGATCAGCCACAGATCTCGTCGGTTGCCTCGTACACGACATTGAGAAAGCTCGCTCGCAAAGGAAAGTTGCCTCACTACTAACCATGGACATCAAAGGAGCCTTCGATACAGTCCTTCCGGGGCGGCTCAAATATAGACTCAGAGAACAAAGATGGCCTAAATGGCTCATAGGCTGGGTGGAATCATTCGTCACCAACAGATCGGCCCGAATTCGCATAGGGGATTTTTTCACCCAAGAGACACCACTGATTTGCGGTCTCCCTCAAGGATCTCCCGTATCACCAATACTCTTTATGCTTTACATCGAACCTTTGATAAGTCTCGCAAACCCAAGATGCGTCTATAGCTATGCAGACGACATTGCTTTCATTCGCACTGGCAAAACTCTGTCAGAATGCTCAGAAAAATTAGCAAAAGATCTTGAAAAGGTTATAGAATGGGGGATAGGTAATGCTATCACTTTCGATCAAGAAAAGAGCGAACTACAACACTTCACACAAGCCCCCAAACCTAAGGAGTACCCAATTGTTCGGATGGGCGACTGGTGCATAGCCCCCAATCAAGTCACTAGATGGCTGGGATTTTGGCTGGATAGGAAGTTATCCTTTTTAACACATGTGAAAAAGTGGGCAGCTAAAGCGTCGTCAGTCGCAATGCACCTGAAACGTCTCAATAATTCTCAGCGAGGGTCTCGCCCGGATTTGGTTAGACAGGCAGTCAAATCGTGTGTCATACCTATTGCCACATATGGAGCAGAAGTCTGGTGGCCAGGGGAAACAGTATACTCATGGAGTAGAGGAATACAGAAGGACCTGAAAAACAGAAGCAACTCACACCTATCGCTTCTCTCCAAGTCTGTTAAACTAGGGTTGAGATCAATTCTGCCAGTATTCAAAACTACACCGCTACCAATTCTTTATCGAGAAGCTGGTATCCCCCCAGTCAACCTTATCCTCGAGGAGACTCGTTTACGGCAAGCACTTCGGACTCAAACGTTGGACGACAAACACCCTCTGAAGAAAAGAGCACTCGGTAAGGCCTTCACCCGCCTCACTAGAACGACAAAACTGTTGCCACTTTCAGTTGACGGAAAAGATGTTCCTCTCGTCGGGAAGAAACGGAAGTTTGACGCAAACGTTCCCCGCAGAATTCACGATATACATCTCTTTACAGACGGTTCGCGTACTGCTGACGGAAAGGCGGGGGGCGGATTTGTCATTTTCCAAGGAGGGAGAAAAGTTAAGACCGGGAGCTTCGGCATAGACCGCAAGGTCGAACCTATCGACACGGAAATAATTGCCATTTGCCAAGGTCTCTTTGCCTGTATACAATTTGCCAACACACGATTCGCCA